CAGCCCCGGGGCAGGCTGCTCTGCTCCATCCACCGCCCCCCCACCAGGAAGCCTCTCCTTCCCTCTCTCTTCAGCACACTCCGGCGATCCCTCCATCCCAGCTGCCAGCTCCCTTGGACCTGCTGCTCCACCCGTGACCTCCTCTCCCCCTCCTGACTCGGCTCTGGCTGTCTCCGCAGATACTCCCATCACCCCTCCATCAGGTTTTTCTTCCATTGCACTCTCTGTATTCGCTTTGCTGCCTAGAGATGAGTTTCCACTCAAAAGCGCTTCTGCTGAGCCCTCCTCCTCCTCTGCTGTTGTGGTCTCCTCCAACTGAGATGACCCTTCACTTACGGGATCCCCTCCAGCATCCACCAGTGCTTCTAATCCAGGTGCTACCTGCAAGATGGGACCCTTGCTGGGCTCCACGCACTCCTCCACTGTATCCACTGCTCTCAGGAGAGAGCTCTCTTCTACCTCTGATGCCTTGTCTGTCTCAGATGTTGCTGCTCCTATGGCAGCTTTCCCCATCACCAGACACTCTTCCCCTGATGCCTTCAGCTCGGAAAACTCATTTGGCTTTACAAAGTCTTCTCCTCCAGGCATTGCTTCTCCTGTGCAAACATTTGCATCCCCTGATGTTTCCAGGAGAGCCCCAGGCTTCTCCACAGCCTCCTCCCCTTCAGAAATGGCTTCTTCTACAGACCCTTCTCCTTTGGGGCCAGCTACCCTGGCAACCCCTTCTTCTGCCAAGCTGGCATCCTCCACAGCCTCCTCTCCCTCAGACACAGCACCCACCACGACACCCTTCCCTGCAAAACCTCCCTCCTCCATGGCCTCCTCTGCCTCAGACACCATCTCACCCACCACCTCCTTCACCAGAGGCTCTGTGGCTCCCGCAGCCTCCTTTGCCTCAGAGGCCTCCTCTGCAGCCTCTTCTCCCACAGAGACCTCCCCAGCCACCTCCTCCCCCTCGGACACCGCTCCATCTGCCTCCCTGCCTAGCACTGCCCCTGCTTGCCCCTCTCCCCCAGCTGCCCGCTCTCCCAGTGCTGCCTCGCTTTCCATCCCCTCCATCAGAACTTCCTGCTCCCCGGGTGCCACCCCTGTGCCAGACTCCATTCCCTTCCCTGTCCCCTTTCCATTGGGATCTCCTGCCATGGCGCTCTCCTCAGGTGCAGATTCCTCCACCTCAAGCGGACTCTCCGCCTGCAGCACAGCCACCGTGTCTTCCTTGGGCAGCAAATCTCCCACCCGTCCCGTTTCTTCCTCTGCCTCTTTGGTGCAAGCATCTCCTCCCTCAGCAACGAACTCTTCCTTCTCAAGTGCTTGTCTCTCCGCTACCATCTGCCCTTCTCGTACCACTTGTTCTGCTGCCTTCTGCACGTCAAGTGTTCTTGTTCCTTCTGCCAAGAAAGCTCCATCTGGTGCTATTAAGAAATAATCAAAACATTAGTTTTATTGAGAACTGTGTTAGTGTTAAGGCTGTTTTACAGGGTTATTATTAAAGATGCTATCTCTCCCAAGCAATGAAGGGACATCAGCACGGTGATGAGAAGAAAACTTGCTGTGCTGCTTCTCATCACGCACCTGTGCTCTGACTACGCTTCTAGCGCTGCCGTTCTGGCATCTGGCATAACTAATTTAAGTAAAAATGTTGATGCGTGACCAGATTTCAACTCTGACAGTTCTGCCTGCCCTGCCTACTCTCCCTCCTTCCCTCACCTGCCTAGCAGGGAGCTCAGGTGTGTGTATGAAATAGCTACAGGCTTGACAGTAACATTCAAAAATTCAGAAATAGGTGGGAAGTTGCTTATGTAAAATACACACACAGAGGAAGAAGAATACTCAGCTGTTCATCTAAAATGGGTAATTGCTTCCCATGGACTCTGTAATTACACCAGGGGAATAATGTAAGGTCCATTCCAGCCCCCTGGGGATTTAAGGAAAATGCCCGCATGGAATTCGGTGCTCCAGGATCTGTCCCTGGGGAGGCGCCCCAGCAGTCTGTGCTGCTGCACTGCTCTTTTGTACAAACGTGGCAGGTTCCTATTCTTTAGAAAATGAGAAGTTTTATGCTACTGGAAGGAGCAAGAAGCATTGTCTTTCCCAAGCTACCCTTTCTTAAACCAGGCAAAGGCCATCTTACCCCAAAGCATCTCCCACTGTTTTTGACTTATTTTGCCATCTTGCACTACTGCTGCACTCCACAGTTACTGCTTTTTGCTGCCTGCTTGGGCAACCGCCTGTGCAACTAGACCCCATCTCTGGAACGGCAGCCAGAGAAAACTCCAGGTGACAAACAGGCCTGGAGGACATTATTTGTCCAGCCCATCTCTGCCAGTAGAGTGGAGTTTGTGTCTGGTTTCCCACAACCGTTGCACTGGCCTGGCCACCCCCCGCTGCCACACTGCCCGTCTCGTCCTTCAGAGCTGGGCCTGATTCACTCACGGGTCAGGTCTGCTGCAGAGGAGCGCAGAAGGTGGACAAGGCAGCTCAGGCTGCTGCAGACAGTAAGGGAAGCAGCAGAAGAAAGGACAGGCTGATAAAAGTGTTTCCAGCGAGAGAACGGAGGTTGTGGAGGGAGAGGAGAGAGCCCAGCAGGTTGTTTCCTCCCGCCAGAACACACATCGCCTGAACACCAGACCACACTTCAAAGTAAAAACTCTACATTTTGCAATACGAGAAATCATGCCTTCATCCAAGACTCTTCTTGCGCCAGATTTGTTGCTTATGTTTACTACTGCCTTTCTGTCCCTTATATTTAAAATTTTTCTTCTTTTATACATATATATACACACTCTAATCAGTTATCAATCACTATCATATCTTTACAGAACTGAAAATCCTACCTCCTGAATCTGGGAGAGCTCAGGTCCACTATCAAAATCAGTAACATGTAATAATTTAAAAATTTTCTAATGGAAGTTTTGGTACAAAATGAAACGAAACACCCCAAACTGTCATCCCAACTCAGTGTTAAATATTACTGTCTCCACAAAAACATAGTGTCTGAACTGTCCAGCTGCTAATACTGGACTGAGCCTAATAAAATAGATTTTTGCCAGTCCCTGTAAAATAGATGCTTTTCTCGCTTTGTCTAAAAGAAACCAAATGCTGTGTTGTGCATGGTATAGTCTGCCTGTTTACCTGCTTCATTAGCAGAGAGAGGAGTTAATTTACTCTGTCTGCTGCTTACAAAGTATTCCATTCCCTTCTGTAAAGTGAGGTCTTGCATTGGGCAGGAGTGATAATGGCAACGTGAAATTGTTTCAGTATTAAAATATTCAAAATGAGGCACCATGCAAACCTGAGAAGTTAGGAACCAGGAGATTCCAGGCTTTCCAAAGACCACCTGCCTGGGAAGCAAATGCATTTCAACCCTGATTTGGAGGGGCAACTAACACAGAAGTCAGGCTGCCCAGGAACTACGTGTTCTGTACCCTGGTCTGTGCATCAGAAACAGAAATCCTTGGGAAGACCAACACATGAAGACTACTGGAGTTTGAAATTAAATGTTGTAGACAGTTGTTTGTGGTCAGCTGATGAGAACAAGGCAGAAGCAATCTCATCTGAGAAAGAATTCCTAAGAAAAAGACAATTACAGACCAGAGATGAGAAGGAACCTCCAGCCTCCTGCATACACCTTCTGGATGAAAGACAACAAACCTTAAAAGACTATATTCTTAGAGTTAGCAGATCAAAAAGCTCCCAGCTGACCAGAAAAAAAACTTAGAACCCCCTGGGTTAATGTGCCATAATACAAGACAGTGCACAACTGGCAATTTAAAAACAATGTGTATGACCTGATCCTGCCAGCTGTTAAGACTCTTAGAGGATGGAAGAAGGAAATGTAGGAACAACGGTGCAGACTGAAGTCAGTTTTAACCTATGGTTTTCTTCTCTTTTCAGACTCACTGCTACCTTGGAGTAGAATCTTACTTTCCCTTCGTCTCATTGCTGCAGCAGGATGGCTGGCTTTAATATTCCCTGTAACAATACGCCGGGGTCTTCTGTCAGGCACATCAAGTCCCCAGCAATAAACTACTAGGGCTGCAAGGACCAGAAATGTTCTTGGAGGGAAACGAGATCAAGCCGAAATTTCCTCACTGCCAATTATGCCAACTGCTAACAGGGAGATGAGTTTGGGAGACAAATGGGGTACAGCATGGAAATGAAGGCTGCAGCTCAGCTTCATTCCAAGTCTGTCAGTCTCATCCTGCCTGTCTTGAGAATACATTTCCCAAGGAGGCCCCACGCTACCTGGAAGCAAAGGGAAACTCACTGGATTCCTGCTTTCCACAGCTATTTTCTTGACTGGCAGCCAGTTTTTTCATGGCCTGGATTCTTTACCTAGGACCATTATAACTGCCAAAAAAGTATTATTTATACATGACTACAGAAGGCAGCCAATCATCACCCAATTTTAAACAAGTTAGAAAAGAAAAGAGCACAAGGAAGGTTTGATAGTGTAGAAAGGACAGGGATAGGGCAAACACTTCTATAAAAAGACTTCAGATGAATAAAATTTAATCCATGTCCCTGGTCGACAGCCAACCTCACCTTCATTGGCATCACGCTCTGTACTTGTTAGGTTCTCTTCTTCCTCATTTGCACAGGAATCACCAGTTTCAGGTTCAGAATTCGCATGATGATCATTTCCAGTTACCTTTGCTATTTCCTCCTGGACTGGTTTGAAATCTTCAAAAACTATCACACAGTTACAAAAGAGGAACAAAGAAAGAGAGACCATTAAAAAGCAAAAGGGGAGTAGAAGTCATCCAGCTATCTCTGCTTGGTTTAAAATTTGAAATGTTAAGGAAGGCCTGATCGGAGCCATGTAAATCTTCGCGAACAATAATTTTTTTTAAGTAGATTAAAACAAAATAGAGACAATCGTTAAAAATCCAAGGGAAAATTCATGCAGGAGCATCTACTAAAACACAGAGCAGCAATCTTCCACAACATTTTCACAAAACAGTGAGATTGCTTTTGTCAGGCAGTCTGAAGGGGGTCCAACATACAAGCAACAACATTGTTTTATAGACATAAAATGGTTATTGTTCTCTGAATACTTTTTAAGAAAAAAAAAATCTATGTTAAGATCACAACTACAGTTCGGATGATTCCTCAATTCCCCAAACTAACATAAGTGACTGAAGACCTACGCTTGCCTATAAGTAAGTGGGGAAGTATTTTCTGCTCTGTAAATGCAATGATTGTGATGCTTCACTGTCAAGTCATGCGTTTGACATTATTGTTAAGATTGTGCTATCAGTTCCACTTTTGCTTTACGACTTGCTGAATGATTATGTGGATGGCTTCCAAGCTAGCAATACTAAACAACTTCTTTATGAGCAGTATTCCAGCTAGGTGCACAGTCCGACCCCTTCAGTATCTCCTCTGAGAGCTCTTCCCTCCAGCAACCAAGACTTCTCCCTTCAAGTTCCATCAGTTTTCTGTACCTTCCCTCTTCTGTTGCAGTTATTGGCTTAGTCTTTTACAAAAAGAGCTTGCTAGTTTGCCACTGGTATGGATTGACAGCATCAAGTCAAATCTCGTACTTGGTTTTACAGTCGAATGGCCTCTATAGCCTCTGTAGGTGCATAAAAATAAGCACAATAAGACCGACCAACCTGGCCACTACGCTCATCCAAACTCCATGCTTAACCTACAGAAATACTGTCTTGCCTCAAACCGTCTTCTACGGATCACAGGCACTTCTGGGCGTCGTGTGTTGAAATCACATGTACTTGCATGTGGCAGCAATTTATTAAGAAAAAAAGGCTATCAGTTCTTATGAGACTGACTTTTCTGTACATGTAGCTGTGCGTATGGGATTTAATCTGTCTGCTGCTTCAGAGTCAGCCTGGGCACTGAAAGGTCCAGGAGTGGGAGAGGTGTTGTTTACACTGCTCACAGTGAGGAGAAGACTTAACGCTGTCTTCCCTGCCACAATCTTGCACTCTTCCGAAATCCCTGCCTCTCTCTTGCCAATGTACACCCTGTGCTTTCTCACCCTTTTTCTATGAGGTTGTTTTTTTCTACACTGTTGATCTTACTACTTACTACTTGTATCTTACTACTTACTACTCACCCTTGTACATATTGTTTTTCTTCCTGTTTTTCACTTTTTAAAACATTTTTTCTTCTTCTTCTTCCTCTGGTGGTTGTTCCTACTTTATGCTTACACCCATCCTTCCTACCCCATCAGTGCCCTGCACCCACACAGCTCTGAAGAGAAATGTGAGGAATTTTTTTAAAAGACCATTTCAGTCTACAGTACAAAAGGCACTTGCTCAGCACGAATGCCTTTTTGCCTATACCATAGGTCCTAAAGAGCAGTGATGGCTTCACTCCTTGCTGTCACATTTCACCTGGGTGAAGCACTAAGATCTGCTCTGCAAGGAGCCATGAAGGTTGAGCAGGGAAGGTGCCAGGAGAGCGTTTATAAGATTCCTCCTGGGACCCAAGATCCTGACAAAGGTCTCTGTGCAACAGTGCACAACCTGCTTGAATCATTCTGACATTTCAGCTTGGCAGAGAAGACAAGAAGCTTTCCGCTCCAGGACATCCCTTGGCTGCCTCACACAGAGGTACAGGCAGCACTTTCTTCAACCTGCTGAAATACCAAGTCTTTTGCTAGGTATGGTGCATCTATTTTACTTTGACCTGATTATAGGCCTGAAGTCTGGCTAGCTGGCAGTTCCCATTCATTGCAGTTTACTGCCTGCGTAACATTTGACAAAGGGGAATTGACAGTCTATCAAAACACAGAGCCCAGGGAAGGATGACAAATACTGCTCACAATAATTTTCTCTCTTGGGATCAGCAATATCTCCTCATCACAAAGAGCACAGCACGATCAGAAAACGCGCAGCAGGAGATCATCCCAGGTGTTTCCATACTTCTGACAGATCCTGTCACACCACTGGTTCTGATTTGCCCAGACTCAGCCTGCAGCTGAACGACCCCAGACGAGCATTTTGCACCTTTGGCTTTCTTCAGCATATACAATTTTCTCTGATAAATTAGTTCTGCACTGTTAACGACGGCACTGGTTAGGAGAAATCCTGTCACGAGCATGATGGGTCTTGTTGGGACAAAACCAAAACAGTGCCCTACCAGTCTCATCTAAATGCAGGCTGGATGGCTGATGGGAAGGACCAGCCCTACATAGAAGTTCGTGTGGAAAAAATCAGGGAGGCCCAAGAACGGATTGAGAACCAATTCTGCAGTAAAGGACTGAGCTCCTTCAGCCCTCTGGGTGTCTCTGGAGGTTTTTAGCCCTCAGCCTTTTGGAGGACTGGCATGGTGGGAGGTGTAACCATCTGGAATTCCTTTTAAGACTATATACATCCTTAAAGTTGTGAATTAGAATCTTTATCATGGCAGCAACTGCACTAAGTGCCTAGAAGAAGGGAAGGTTCCCATGCAACCTTTGTTACCCCACAATATTTCTTTAGCATGCTCATTATATCTCAAAAAGAGTATTAGCTTTTTCTTTCATTGCTCTACACACAGTCTCTTGGCAATTCTTTATTTACCATAGAATTTATCTAGCTAACTCCCATGTAGATGGGGAAAAATCTGTGTGCAAATTAGGAAGTCGTTCCTATCTGTAATTTTTATAATTCAATTATTTTTCTTGTCCTTCCTTGTCTGCACTGTCCCCAAATCTCAGGTAGCCTCCTGGCAGCAGCGGTGATGCAGGACTTGACTAAGAAGCAAACGCTGTTACCTACAGAACATTTGGGCAATCTGTCTATATTTGATAGAGGATCTCTGTTCAAACCCAGAGCCAGGAAACCATGTGCGCTGAATGTACTCACGCAGGAATTTATGCTAATAAAGAACAACGCTATTGTCTTAGGCTAACTCAGTACCAGATTACTAGCTTGGCACATTCAATTGATCTTTCCTTGGTTTTGTATTACAGCATAATATTCTGTCCTCTAATTTTTTTAAGTTTGTTCTTCTTCAGTAGTCTTTACTCAATTCATCGGAGCCCAACGGTGAAGGTGCTTAAATTGAAGTTTCTTTCACACAAGTGAAGAGAGGGGTTCCAGAAGCAAACACCTTTGAAGACTTCAGCATTATTCAATGAATAGTACGCTACTGTCTTTACTGCCTCAATTCTGAATGCATAACAAAGCAAAAGCAATGCACAAGACAGTCAAAGCAACCCAGCAGCAACAGACCTGCAAAGCATTAAGCACCAGCGTTCAAGTTGTTTATTCCACACATGGCTATCTTAGATAGTTGCACTGGGGTCAACAGAAAGCAATAGAAACAGAACCAAAAACTTCTATTAAAATAAAGGAAAAGCTTTCTACATTCCACTGCAAATCCAGCATACAGAAAGTCAACTGGAAATTTCATCTACTGTGGCTTGTGGCTCTCCTTTACATCAGCACCAGTGCAGACAACTATTCTTTTATACTGCCCGATTTAACAGCGTCCCAGATGTATCCCCCATGACCTCAATGACATTGCAAAGCAAGGGCTTACATTTTTTCCCATTCTCCAGATATAATAATGCAAAGCCTTGCTGATGCGGCCAACCTTTTATTAATTGCCCATTATCCATAAAGGTAAGGTTGAAACTGCAAGATGTCCATTTTGTCAACAGTAAAACGAGGTGTCACGCAACTAACTGATTGACTCCTTGCCAACAAATCCATTGCACAGTGAAGCAACACAACCGTGGATCAACTGACATACTTTTGATCTTCATCTGCTGCACCATGATTCACTTGGTAAGATTTGGTGTACTTTTTGAATCTAGTATTTCAACATTATAAACAGAGTCCCCCAATCTAGCACACAGATTTTCCGATAGGTAATAAATCACGTTTGGATTTTATAATAATTGCGTGATATGTGAAACCCAACTACTGGAGTAAAAAAGAATAGCCTAAGCCTTACACTGGAAACACTAGAAAAGAAACAATAACCCAACGTTACATTCTGGGTGGTTATTTAGCTCACAGCAGCACAGAGTATTCTAGTAGCTTGGAAACAGTCCAGCAACTGCATTCCCTATGCTGCACCATGACTTAGTATAAAGGCAAAGACAGCAGCAGTTGCATGCAGTACTTGCTCACGGTCATGCAGGGGGACTGTACTCACCACCTCCTTCATCGCCCTGAGGAGTCTCTTCATTGCTGTCCTCCACTTCCGTCATACTGCTTTCTAAAGGCGCCAGAAGACTTTCCTCCCCATCATCCCTCCTGGTACTTGCATTCTTGTCCCCATCTTCCACTACGTTACTTTCTACTGACCCAGCCTCTTTGAGTTCCCCATTAACTTCAGGACTTTGATGCTGTATTGCCATTACATTTTCATGAAAAATTCCAGTATCTTCCCTTGCTGTTAGATCCTCTGGTTTTGCCTTTTCTGCTTCATCTATTCCTTCCTTTTCCAGTGCAAAAGTTTCCTGATTTTCCTCCATTCTGAGCAGTTTCTTCTCCCCATTCTCATTTCCATATTGTGCATGTGCCGCAGTATCAGATGCCCTTTTGATATTACACTCCTCTTTGCCCTTAATATTGTCTTTCATCGTTTCAGCATGAGAATCATCTTCACTGCTATACTGAGTACTGATGGATGAGAGAGAGCGTGCAGGCCTCCTGTCTAGAAATAGAAAACATAATTTTGTTTTAGTATTTGTCACTCAGACATCTGCATTCATTGGCCACTATTTCCCTTTGCTATGCACAAAGGGACAGACGCTCATCTTGTATCAGTCTCTTAAATTACACCATCTGAGGACACCGTGACAAAATTCCAGTAACTGTAATAGAAGAAAATTGCCCAGGTGTATCAAAGTGTTAAAATCAAAGCCATTTAACATATTTTTTTCTGACAATGGAAATGAACCAGATTAGCTCCATCAATCACACAGGCATACACCTCCAAAAGGACCTCTAAATATGACTCAGACAGGTTTTAGAATAGTTTCTTGAGCTCCATTTAACAAAAGATTTCAACTATATCAACAGTCCTTCAGTGCACTCCTGTTATCTTAGTGAATATGATAAAGACCTTCAAAATCATGTGTAAGCCATTCAAGTTGAACTGGAGATGAAGCTCCCTGTCTACTCTAAAAAAAACATACAGGGACCACCATATGAAATTCATAAGTGGAAAATTTGAGGGGGAAAAAAAAAGCAATAATTCTTCTTCTAATATTTAGCTGAACAGTAGAGCTTACTGCTACACAGCATTGCTGGTGTTCAAAGTTCACATGGGTTCAAGAAGAGATTAATCAAACTCAAGGAAGAAAAATCCAGCTAGGCCTAATAAGTAAAAGGGACCACCCTTGAGACCAGCTAATTACAGGGGTGCAAAGACATGGTGGGGATGCAGCACAGTACTCTTGCCCTTGGATATTAAAGAGCTATATGGATTCAGTTATAAGAGAAAAACTACATAAGATTTGGGAAAATTATGATCCAGGCAGGGGAAATTCTGTCTTGGAGAATATGTAAATATAAACATAAAGAAGGGAAAAGAACTGCTTATGGATGCGCAAAAAGGCAAAACTAAAACCCATGGAGTTAAATTAAAGAAAAATCTTTTTAATAATGAATATCCAGAAAAATCTGCCACTGTTGAGACCTATTAGACACTTTAATAATCTCCTAAAAGAAATGGAACTAGTAGTTGCTACTAAAGTTGCTTGAAATATTCCCACGCAGAGTATTTTCAGAGAGTAAGGGTCCTTCATTCAAACAGAAAGCTGTTCTTGTCCTCAGAATTAGCAATGAATTCTTATTTTTCATAAATTTATTATTACATCTCAGTTGGGAAAAGCCCACATTTTTTTTTAACCCTTCTCTCCACCTCTTCTGTTCAGCGATGGAAAAAAAAAAAGTAGGAAGATTTCATTACAAAGGGGAAAATATGAAAAATCAACTAATAGGAAACGAATAAAAAACCACAGGCATTTTGTGTTCAGTGTACCAGTGCCTAGGGTGGTTAAGAAAAACAATGCAAAAAAGTTACCATTTTCTTCAAAGGATTAAAACCAAATCTGGATAAAAGTAGATGAGGACTCCCATGCCACCAGGCAAACAGTAAAAGGACACTTGGGAGATAACAAACCCTTCCTACAATGAATTTCCTATTTGTGCAGAAGGAAATGCCCTGCACCAGTTTGGGTTCCACTGTTTACTGTTTGTAAACTCATTCTGTGCAAGTGCAAAGAAGTAGATGCCAATTGGTTCCTGAATGCTTCTACCACCCTGAGCATAGAAATCTCTTTGAAGATTAATCACGACAGCCAAAACAAAAAGCTCATCCCGACCTTCAAACTTAAATGCAAAGTCCCTAGAAATCCAAAATTCCAATTATCTGAAATGTCACCCAAAGCTAGCAGTAACCTTAAAACATCCTTATCTAATGTTATAGTATACCATTTACTCGTGCTAAATAAGGACTGCAGAACTCCTTCAGGCTTCCTGCCCCAAGAAGGTAAACGTTGGAAGCACTGCTCCTCTTGCTGACAGTCATTTACACCTACGGGGAGCAGTCAAACAGAACTCAGAGCACGGAACAGATGCACTCACAGTGTAACCAACAATTATGAAAAAGGCTTTTCCACTGGTATCCCTAGCTCCTGATACATGCCTCTTCCATTATTTGCTTACTTATATATTTAGCCTTCTAGAAGCCCCTCTAGATACCCATCCTGTATTTGGGTAACCACTCCTTACACTAAAATACCAAATGTCAAATTAGAATATTACCTGTCTCTTCCTCACATCCTCAGCAAACACAACAGGACAAAAGAAGTAAAGCCAGCTTCTCTGCCTCCTTTCTCAAAAATTACAGAGAAAAGGTTAAGACGTCACAGCTCATGTGGGCCAAAGGGAAAAATGACTCCACGTCGTGTGATTCTCAAGAAGCACCTTTGAAAACAGCTTCCCTCATTTCTACGGAGGCAATGCTGCTTGGCGCCGGACACCCATGGCCCGCTGCTGATTGCCAAATGAGATGCAAGTAATAACTGATGAACACTCTATTAGTGTGCTAATGTAAAAGATAGAAGCAGCAAATCAGGCTGCTAAGAAAGAAGATTAAACCTATCTTATTTAAAACCACAGAGAATGTAAATGATTTAAACGCACGTCCTGAGCTACTGCAGGACAGGAGAACAAAGCAAACCATGGCAAACACAAATTGAAAAACGTTAGCAGCAATGATTTAAACGCACGTCCTGAGCTACTGCAGGGCAGGAGAACAAAGCAAACACAAATTGAAAAACGTTAGCAGTGCCTGCCAGCTGACCGGTACGGAGCCCCTGCCTAGACAACTACATGTTTTACACTGTTAGTTGCTGATGTTAAATGTCCATATTTCAAGATATGGTGGCTTCCCAACAGCCTTTTCTCCTCATCATAGAAAAATTTATATTGAATTCGTGAGTTTTGGTGCAAGCAGCAGTACTATATCCCAGTAGAAACGAAGGTGAATAAGGGCGGCCCTTAATGAAGGCCTTAATACATAGGTAGCCATGAAAGGCCCTTGCGGTTCCTTTCCACCTGTGCACACCTATGCATCCACACACTTTCACTGGATCATCACACACTGCTAGAGCTTGAGACGCAGCGGATCAAAGTCATGAAAAAGTTTGTAATGCCGTACACTAACAAGCAGAAAAGAATGCTTAATTGTACTGATTATTCATGAATCACAGGCTATTTCCGATTATCACAAGGAAACAAAATTTCAGGTTCTTTTTGATCACTGCAATGATTTTATAAGCAAGGACGTTTCAAACCTGATTTGAATTTCTGCTGAGTTTTATACTTTCTATAAAAAGACTGGATCTTTCTTGCAGCTGCAACCTTTTCACAAACAGCTGTATTACCTTTGTTTAATTCACCTAGAAATACAAATGTGAAAGTAATGTTGAGAAACAGTTTGCACAATAGGACTGTCAAATGTAAGGAAGATAAAGTAATTCATTCTAAAACAGCAGTAAATGGAGAAATCCTGGTGCATTATGACAAGCAAGAGGCGCTTAAGTCAGCTCAGGATCTAACAAAGCCACAGAGGAGAAATGTTAGAGAGAAATAAAACACTGTGCCAGAAGGAAGAGGCAGTTCACTTTAGGCTTATTCAGCACGTGGTGGATGGAATTCTATCATTTGCCTAATAAATGAGAAATTGCCTGCAAGTTTTCTTTGGGATTATTTATGAAGATGCACAGCTTGGATTGCAGAAAGGCCAGTAGTTGAAATGCTAGACATTAAAAGTGCTGAACGGCAAAAGATGCTACTTATTCTGCAAAACTTTATTTCAGACCAGTTTAATCTTTCTGAATTAATAATAATAATGGTGGTGGACATTTCACTGCACACTTTTGTACCTGCGTTTGGATCAAAAATCACAGACTATTTTCCTGATTCAGACCCTTACTTGCTCAGAGCCAGGCGTCTCCTCCCTGGGCCAGGACAGAGTCAGTGATGTACCAGAGGAGAAAGCTGAGGTTCTGATTATTCAGGGCCATTAAAGACAGCACTTCTAAAACACAAGGTGGTACGTTGGGTTTCTGGGTGACTTCTCAGATAAAAGTGTGTACCCTCAGCAGTTGTAAGGGGTCGTAGCTTCTCAGATGTCGGTGACCACTGACATGAAGTGCTGATCTGCCCTGAGTATTTAGAGCTAATTTGTTGACTGGGTCCATCTCCATTTCCACAACTAAATAGCTCAGCAATGTCTGCTGTGAGCTGGCACACGCTTACATTGCCAGTGGGTTTGGCTGTATTTCAGTGACAGATGGTAGAATTAATAAGAGATAAAATAGATGTATTTTACCAATTCAGTAGGAATTGCAAGGGTCTTCCTATGCAGACTCAACACACGTACTGGACACACACAAAACGTAAAACACGCATCAGGTCAACTCCTCTAAGCCTCATTATGAAAAAAACTCACCTTGTTTATCATCCTCTGAGTCACTGTCAGAATATCCATCACTTTCATCTTTCTCACCATCAGAGGCCTGCAGTGTCTTCTGTGATGAGGTTTTACTCTCCTTTTCATAGTCTAAAATACATTTTTTATCATCTGAGGATGACTTTGACACTCCATTCATTTGATCACCAGTCTGTCCCTCTTCATTAACTTCTTCATCTGCTTCAAAATCTTCATCATACTCTAAAATAAAAGAACCATACTGCGAGAAAAGAAATGGAATTCACAACTAATAAAGTTCTTTTTTAAGCAGACAAGAGGTTAATTTCATTAATCTCCTTTTGCCTCTGCATTTCCTCAATCTTTTTAAAACATTGAGGGAACCTAAGACCACAGATAGGAATCGTAAGAGCACATTATCATTAAAAAGCATCATGTTCTTCATAGATAGAGCAGCAAAAATGCCATAAAGCTACTGAACGATGCATCATGTGTGATGTATTAACATTAAAAACAAACCAAACGAAATCATTAGCTGCTGAAAGGACTAGAAAAATTAAGAGCTGGGCAAACTCAGAAATAAAATGCAAGACAGACTCATTACAGGAGAAAAACTTGTGATGAAAAAAACCTTAAAGCAATAGAGAAAGCTGGAGAAAGTTAATACACCGTAGCGCAAAGTAAGATGAATGTGGATTGACGTGGCTAATTAACAAAGAAGTGGCTTACAAACTAAATGAATTAATTAAATCCAGCCAAAGGGCACTGCAGAGGAACATTCTGTTACCACACTGTTCTAATATGCTCACTGGAGTCCCAGGTGAAATCCCAGTACAAATGAAGCTTATGTCAGAATTACCATTCTCACATCAACACGGTCTAGATTTCGTCCCAGGCTACTGGCCTGACGAGTTGTAGCATTTGATAGATAACTTTGCTCACATCTATAGGTAACGACTGTCTTCATGCATATGCATTACAAAATCCTTCCCTTTCCAGCCAAGGCTGCAGTTTAAAATCCCAGGCACCAGGATGCACAGTGATGTCAGTGATTTCCATTTAAAATTCTGCCATTCCACTGCTACCACTATAGCTCATTGCACATGCAGCAGAGAGGCAAACAACCTAAATTGTGAAGGAGAGCTGTCACTGATGACACACCAGCTTTCCTCGTGGCCATAATTTCTCACCTTTCAGATTTTATTGCTCACCTCTCTTTCTTTGCATCAGTACTTCTAAAGTACTGAAGTGACAGAATGCCAAGGACAGAAAGGAAGAGTATCTGATGCAGAACCAATTAGGCACATAAACAATTACGCAGACAATGAGAATTAAGGGAGTAAGGAGATTTATTTTCTGTATTAAAAATCAATTGAGATTCCAACTGCATTGTTGGAAGTGAGGCCTCCTTAGGTAACTGTCAGAAAGGTGCCCACCTCCTGGCAGGGGAAAGGCTTGATTAAGCACAAACACGCATCCACAGGGACTAACGAGGAAGCTGAGCAGTAGCACTGCAGAATTATGAAAGTAAAAATAGGAATAGGAAGCAGGAATTAAACTCTGTCTCTAATTTGACTTAGTCTGAAAAAGGCTTTATAATAAGGAGCAAGGGAAGGCGCAGGCTGAGCTCACCGTCTTTTTCCGTAGGAGCCGGCAGAGCTGTAAGCAGCCTGGTGGCAGCAGGGACCGGCCTTAGGCGGCACCGGGGAAACGGCACATTCTGAGCATCCAGTTGGAGCTGCCACGCATCACTTTTATACCACAAATATTATCTTTGTCTGCTACAAGAAACACCCCTTGGGCAAACTATCAGCAAGGGCAGCCTCTCTCCCATCTTTCTTTTTAAATCTCTGTCAACAGAAACGAGATGGGACTCAAGCAAAAGGGGCAAGGTCAGCCAGCTACAACAGGCAACGGGAGCGTTCAGCAAAGGGAAAGAATGATAGCTCCAGCGGGGTCGGAGCAGAGAAGGCAAGAAAGGTGAGCTGGTAGACCTGGAGCAGAGGGAACAAATGCTCAGACAAGCGAGGAAGCTGGAGGTTTGGGGAGGTGTCAGGGAAGCGGTGCCTGGGGCAGTGTGGTGGAGAAGGGACTGGGAAGAGCCTTAGGTGAACAAAGCATTGCACTCCAGCTGGCAACAGGCAGGAGAAAAGACCAAAACAGTTCATCTGATGCTAAATCTTGCTGACATTTTGCTGCTATATGCTCCTCCCACCTTCCCTCCCCTTCTGGACCCAGCATTCAGCCTCCTCCCCTTCGCAGTTCGTCCCTCCCTCCCATCCATCTCACGTCAGGCAGCAGGAGGCTTTTCCACCTCCTGCCCCTATGGCCACTGTCTTCTCTCCATTCACCTTATGCTATGTCCTGTCTCCCTCAGAAGCTCACCTCAGACTCACTGTCTCCCTACCCACACCCAGTCCTATTTCTTCCTTCTGCTCTTCTTGTCCTCCACCTGCTGCCATTCTTCTTCTTCACTGTGCTCCACTTTCCTCCTGCTTTTCCACCTATCCCAGGCTCCTCTTTCAGCCTCTCAGACCTTCCTTATTCACCTTCTTGGCTCTTGCCAAATCCCCTCATCCTATTGCTTGGCTCAAAGGAGGCCCACTAATTTTATTGCCCAGCCACAGGAAACACCACATTTCTCACACATGAGGTGTCCTAAGAGAGGATGCTCCATGTGAAGTTGGAGGCCCACAATCCCATACCTTCTCCAGAATCGTCCTCTCCCATTTAGCATCCCCTGCTTCTGTTTTGGAATACTGTACCATTTTTACCGGTGTCTTCCTGACTACCTTCGCTCTCACGATCCGACAGTTTTTTCCTTTCTTCTTTTCTGTACTCCTGTCCAGTCTCCATTTTGTCCTCGGTAGTCTCCACACTCACTCCATGACCTGGTAAGATGACTAACACTGAATCTTTCCTTGATTTCTGCTCAACACTGCTTTTACTTGGTTCACTGTGCACCTCATCTCTCTGGGAACCCACATGCTTTTCCTCATGGTTCTCCATCTTCCTCTTGGGAGGGGATGGTTTTTTGTCCAGACCCATTGCAATAATGCACCTATAAAAAGAAAAGGAGAATTGGGAAGTATCACATTTTTCTTTCTGTGAACAACAGAAGGGCAGCGGATGCAACGAGCTATTTAGCTCATTATCAGGTACCTACCTACCTCTGCATTGCCACTCAGGTGACAAGGTTAGTGATAACGACTGACTTGAAGAAGCACCCTAAAATCCCCAAGTGCTGCACAAACACAGATGCAGTTCCTCCTTGAAGGAGAGTAACGCTGTCTGCACTTAAAGGTGACAATTGAAGTATAAACAGATTAAAACAAGCAAGCAAGCTTGGAGAAAGGATGACCTTTCCTTGGTTGAGGTGGGTCAGGTTACGGACCTTTTAAGGAAGCTGGACACCCACAAATCCATGGGCCCCGACAGAATGCACCTGAGAGTGCTGAAGGAACTGGCAGACAACATTGCTGAGCCACTTTCCATCATCTATGAAAGGTCGTGGAGAACAGGAGAGGTGCCTGAGGACTGGAAGATAGCCAATTTCACTCCAGTCTTCAAAAAGGGCAAGAAGGAGGACCCAGGGAACTACAGGCCGGTTAGTCTCACCTCCGTCCCTGGAAAGGTGATGGAACAACTCATTCTGAGTGTCCTCTCCAAGCAAGTAGATGAAAAGAAGATCATCAGGAGTACCCAGCATGGATTCACCAAGGGGAAATCATGCCTGACAAATCTGATAGCCTTCTATGATGGCATGACCGGCTGAGTAGACGAGGGGAGAGCGGTGGATGTTGTCTATCTTGACTTCAGCAAGGCTTTTGATACTGTCTCCCATAACATCCTCATAGGGAAGCTCAAGAAGTGTGGGTTGGATGAGTGGACAGTGAGGTGGATTGAGAACTGGCTGAATGGCAGGGCTCAGAGGGTTCTGATCGGCGGGGCAGAGTGCAGTTGGAGGCTGGTAGCTAGTGGAGTTCCTCAGGGCTCAGTACTCAGCCCAGTCTTGTTCAACTTGTTCATCAATGACCTGGACGAGGGGACAGAGTGTACCATCAGCAAGTTCGCTGATGACACAAAACTGGGAGGAGTGG